CACTCTTTAATGTACTGTACTGTGAGCAGGTTCTCTAAAACCTATTTAAGAAACAAACTCTCTATAAAGAAAAATCTAAACAAGAAAAGAAATCTGTGTGTGTGTGTGTGTGTGTGTGTGTGTGTGTATGTGTGTGTGTGTGTGTCCATCTTTTTGAGCTGGGGTCTCAGGCAACTAAAGTTGGCCTTGAGCTCATTTTGCAGCCCAAACTGGCCTCAAACTCCAGTAATTTCTCAGCCTCAGCCTCCCAAGTGCTGGGATTGCAAGCGTGCACCACCACGCCCGGCAGAGAATGAAACCTTAATTTTCTCCCCAACCCACAGAGCACCCCCACCACAAACAGCTTTCTGCAGAATTCTCCGAAAGTTGGCAGTGCATGGAAAGAATGAAGACCAGAGTTCAAAAACACAATATTCACAAAATCAGGTTGGATAGAAAGAAAAGACAGTAGACATGCATGTTGTAAAACTCCATTTTCTCATCTTGTGACAAAGCCAAAAATAAATAAATAAAAATAAATGAAAAAGGCAGGCATCTCTGTAAATAGCCTTTATTTACTCTTGTATGACTAGAGACAAGGTTTACTTTAACTGTCAAGCGATTTCCACGCCTCTACATGGAGACTGGAATAAAAATGACAGTGATTTTCAAAAGAAGGAAATAGATAAGAAAGCACACTGGTGTGTACTACTGTCAAATAAGGGGAGGAAGAAAAAAAAAAGGTTGAAATGAAAAAAGGAAAGAGATAGGAATAAAATCATGCATCAAGGTCGAGCTTTGAAAAAGCAAAAAATACCTTCGTCATCAGCACGATCATTACTTGTTACATCATCAGCGACTTTCTTTGTGTTGGCTCCTGGGGTCATTTTGAAGAGCAAAATGAAGGGGGGGGAAAAAAAAGAGAATTCAAAAACAACAGTTGTGCCAAAAAATCCAGAAAAGAGAGAAACACTACCGAGTCAAAGAAAAAAAAGAAGAATGTAACACAGCAAGTTGAAGTCTGTTACATTTGGTTTTCAAAAAACAAAAATAAAAAGTGAAACGGCGATATAAAAGGCAGAGGAACGTAAAGATGTCAAGAAGAAATCCAAAATGTTACCAGTAAAAAAATATTAGATATCCCATGACAATGCCACTTGGGGTTAAAATGATATTACTGCAAAAATGAAAAAAAGAGAAAGAAAGAAAAAAAAAAAGAAAAGCTAATGTGATATTATTATTATTATTATTATTATTATTATTTGGGAAAAAAAGAGAAAACAAAAATAGCAGAAAAGAGACTTCCCATATTTGTAAAAGAAATATGTATGAAGGGTCCGATGGCCTTCCAATTTTAACATGCTAGAATCTAAATAATTGTTTTAAATGTCAGTGATACATTTTGGTTAGTGTTTACAATGTAAACAAAAACACATTGAAACAAGACAAAGATAAGGAAATTCAATGACATTTTTATAATATTGACCTTATTTTCATGCATTAAAAACTTGGAAGATGCAAAATGTCCATAAAATAACAGAGACATTTTTGATTAACTTCAATCATATTGACCTCTAGTTACTGAGTACAGAACAACTGTCTCTGATACACTTTTCTTTTTGGTCTAAGAAAAATAACTATTATTTGCAAACACATTTAGGCAGTCAAGAAAAAGCCTTACCTACAGATTTTTCTGTTTGACACAGTAAATTCTATTGGGAAAACATTGTTTTTGAATCTCGAAAATATTTTGAAGTGACCTACCTTGTTCTGTTCTGATAACATCTGGAAATGTCGACGTAAGAAAAATGTCAATAAGGTCTTAAATCACACCCCCAAACTCTCTTAAATCCTTGGTGTTTCCTTCCCGATTTTATTTGAACGTTTTCCAGACAGATATGGCTAAAACGCTGAATTGTGAATGAATTATTCAGGCTTAGTTGATTGCAGCAAGCACCTCCTTTTAAGCAAACACTGCATGCATTTCAGTACCAGTAACTTGGACAGAGTTGATCGGCTACTTCCTAGAAGGCTGGGGTGAGCCACACAGAGGTCACACACGTTGAAAAACAGGTTTTAGTTTCCTATTGCCCTGGGTCACAGAGGCTTACAGGGGTTGATTTTGCGTGTCTCACCAAGCCCAGGTGGGTGGGTGGAATTGCAGTGTTTCTTGATTTCTCTCGTTTTATATAATCCCCAAGCAGCCGACTGAAGTTTGAAAAGGACAACACTGGCCCTAAAACTATCTGTAGAGAGGCTTTTGTAAGAATGATTTTAAATGCCTTCATGTGAGGTGTGCTCATACTAGAAAGTACAGTCGAGCTTTTGCAAATGGGAAAGAGACCCAGAGGTGGAAGGAGGGAATAATTGGAGGGGTGGGAAAAGGAGAAACAAAGGATGTGTTCTTTTCATGTACTAACTCCCTGAGACAAATGCAGTCATATGCAGCAAACGCGTACTAATGAAAATTGAATGACT